GAGATGAGGTCTCGCCAAGTTGCCCAGGCAGGCCTCGAACCCGCGGGCTCAGGCAATCCACTCACCTCAGCCTCCCAAAACTCTGGGATTACAGGCTGAGTCAACGAGCCTGACTGAAAATGTTTTTCTACATTGCCTTTTTACCATCTGAACTTGCTTGATAAATTACTGATCCCAGAAACTGTGCAGATTCTCATTTTAGATCCCTTATACAGTGCTTATTTAAGACATGCATGTTTAATTATTTGCACTAGTTTATTTAAAAGCTGTTTGTTAAATGCTACTTTGTCCCAGTGACTTTATGACATTGTTTGGAAAAAATGGTCAATGCTATGAGAAAACACTCTATAATACATTCAATTAATTGTGTACTACCAACGCAATCTATTTAATTGGATGTATTATTTTTCTTGAAAATATGAATTCTATTCCTTTCATATTAAACAGGTGTAATACATTTGTGTGTCTGTGTTCATGAATCTGCCATAGTACATGGATGTTTTTAAAGTGGATTGACCTGAAAGATTTTTCCTTTGGGATTGTGTGAAATCATTACCATTCCTAAAAGTATCAGAATTTAAAACATATATGTCTAAATACTTTAAAACAAGAACAACTAAAAGTATATTATTGCAACAAAAGTATAAACTATAGTTCAATAAAAGATATTAGACATTTATGACTTTAAATAGTTCTTAGAAACCAATAAATGAAAGATAATTGCTATAATATTCGAAATTAATAATTAAACCTCTCCCTTAATATAAAGCAGGAAATCTAAAAGTCAATGATAAAATATTAAAACATTCCCTCAAAATTCAACAGACAACTTTCTTACAATTTTGATTCAGACCTTAGTCGGCAAACTAAGACGAGAGAGAAAATGACAGGAATAGTGTATAGAGTAGACAAACATCCAAGAATTCCTGAAGAGAATCCATGGTAAAAAATAAATAAATAAATAAATAAATGTATTATAATTGAAAAAGAAAGTAATAATGATTTTTAAATGCAAGACAAAGTACACTGTCATTTTAGCACAACAGAAGCATTCTACGGGCAACTTCATTTGAGTAAGATAGTTTTTAGTCAGTCATGTTCCTCTCCTTGGCAGCAGTCTTAATATGGTTTTACTTTTAAGTTAAAAAAAAAAAATGGGGGCAAGCCCCTTGTGTCTCCTCCCACTGTGGGAGCTTTTCTGTCCTCTCAATAAGTCCTGCATTCAAAAAAAAAAAAAAAAACTAACACTAAACACACTGTGTTGGCTGGTTTGTGTATTTCTATGTTTTTTTCTTTTCATACAAAACTAATCATCTCCCAAACAAATCAAACACGACTGACAGATTTGATTCCAGAACATGTGGTACAGTACTCAAGCAGCACTGTCTCAACATGTGGTTTTGGACCAGCAGCATAAGCATCATCTGGGGGCTTATTAAAAAGATAGTAGCTTATGACATACTCAAAATCTACTGAACCAAAATGTTCATTTAAAAAAATTATTTTATTTTATTTTTATTTTCAAGATGTGGGGCACAATCCAAGGTTAGGTACACAAGTAGTCATAGTACGGGTAAAGTTTGGTACTCTTATTGATGTTATGTGCCCTCCCCTCCCTCCCCTGGCTACTGCCAATCCTTTTCTTATAGTATTATGATAAATGTTATTTTTATTTTAAAGATGTGGGGCATAAATCAGGATTGGGTACATAAGTGGTCATCGGACAGGTGAAGTTTGGGCCTGCCTTTGGTCCCCACTTCACCTGGTTCAAACTCTTCAGGTGATTATTTTGCACATTAAAGCTTTAAAAAGCACTTTACTAAAGCACTTTCATTATTACCAAGTGTATAAAAACTTGTGTGTTTGTGTATTAATGAAGATTGGAAGCCTTAAAAGAATTACAGATGAAAAGTTGAAAGCACAGTGAATTTGTCTCTAATTCCTATGTCACTAATTAATCCACATTATTATTACATTAGATAAATTGGATATGATTTACATCGAAAGGAGGTTGGCTGCATGTGTTTGCTGACCCATGGTTTTGCTAATATTTGTTGCAAAAAGAATCTATAACCAACAAAGTAAATAAACCTATATAACACAGCATGGCTAATTCCACTGATTGAATAATCAGAATTGATTAAAAGACTAGAGGCAAGTGATATAATTCCCCTATAAAGAGGTAAGAAACTTTCTCTATTAGCCAACAAATTGCTTACCCTACTTATGTAAAAATTATTGCAAATCTATGTGGAAAAACATACAACTCAACAGAAAATGAACAAAAGACTTAAAAAGATGCTTAAAAAAGAAAATCTAAATGATCAATAAGCATATAGACAGGGGGCAGTATAACTTCAAATTGGAGTAAAATCCATAAACAATATTGATGGTGGGATCTGTTTTAGAACTTGGAGCTATAAAATCACTAGCTGACCTGCCTCTGGATGTACTGACTAATCATTGCTAAGGAAAAAACAAGCCAAGTCAAGAGTAGATAATTGTTGAGTCAGAATATGATCCTCAAATTCTTATCATGCTCAGTTTTTTCAGCCTAAGTCTGCATTATGAGCTCCTAGATCTGTGTCCCTTGAGTGACCTTTTACAAGTTTTGCCATAGAGTATTGTGCTATTTTTCAAACAGCTCTTGCTCATAGGCATTCCCAAGGGTTCTTGGAGCTTCATTGGACAATGCTTATAAGAAAAAAAGGGGAGTTTAAGAATTCTACCCTGCTTCTAATCACTCTCTTACTGTTGACTTCATGGTGAGTACCACATTGATTTTAAAAATGTAAGATATAATTCTACTCTTCACAAACATCGACATAATTTGCATTACATCGTCTGTCTGTTTGGATTGTGAAGGGATGGACTAGATGTTAAATTAAGAAAAACAAATCAGAAGATGACATGGAGATTGAGAATATTACAACACTTTGAAGGAAAGACAGAGTACACATGTTGGGGGAGTGTGTGTCTTGAGGAAGTCTTAGGCATGCCCATCCAGAAATGTCCAGTCTGTGTGGTATGTGTGAGAAGGATGACTATAACATTACTTGATTGTCCTTTACTTTTGCTGGTAGGTAGATATATAACCTTGGACAAGTCATCGTATTTCTCTAAAATTTTATTTTTTATCTATAAAATGGATAAAGTAGCCGGGCTTGGTGGCTCAACCTGTAATCCCGCGCCTTTGGGAGGCTGAGGTGAGTGGATTGCCTGAGCCCGCGGGTTCGAGACCCGCCTGGGCAGCGAGACCTCATCTCTACAATAAATCAAAAAATCAGCCGGGCATGGTAGCGCATGCCTGTAATTCTGGCTACTTGGATCCTTCTGAGGCAGAAGGATCGCCGGAGCCCAGTAGGTCGAGGCTGCGGTGGCCCGGAAGCGGCCACTGCACTCCAGTCTGGGTGACAGAGTGAGACTCCAACTCAAAAAAAAAAAAAAAAAAATAGATAAGGTAACGTAAATGAGTAAAATCTATATAAATCATTTAGTAGAATGGCATATTACTATCTAAAAGTCAAAATAAATGAATATATAATACAATAATTAAGTTTATGTATTTTTTATACCTTTAAATTAAATCTCAGTAGTAACTACCTTTAAAAAAACAATGCAATCTTTATTTTATTTTTTAGCAGGATTTATTGAGAGCACAGAAAAGCTCCCACAGTGGGAGGGGACCAGAACAGGTTGTCCCAATGCAATCTTTAAGACAATGGTGAGATAAATGCCATAACATACATGACCACTGTCTAGTCACATAAGATTATTTGAGCCTTTGCTAGCACAATTAAGAAAATATGTCATATGGCTTAGATAAGCCGTTTCAGAAGATGAATGAATACATAAGATGTTTTATATATATATATATATATATAGATAGATAGATAGATAGATAGATAGATAAGATGTTATCTACAGGCTTGGCCTTTCTCTAAAATTCCAAAGCATTATCCTTAATAAGCTATAGGTTCCCATGGAAACCAAGATTTTGAGCAGTACTCTGTGCACTCACCCATTTAGAGGTTGTAAAGAGGAGAAAAATCTAACAACAATGCAGTCAGTAAAACACAAACACTGACCGGGTTCAGTGGCTCAGCCTGTAATCCCAGCACTTTGGGAGGCTGAGATGAGTGTATTACCTGAGCCCGTGAGTTCAAGACCAGTCTGGGCAACTTCATCTCTACAATAAATTTTTTAAAAAATAGCCAGGTGTGGTAACATGCGCCTGTAGTTTCAGCTACTTGGATGGCTGAGGCAGAAGGATCACTGGAGCCCAGCAGGTCGATGCTGGGGGGTGGCCGTGAGTGTGCCACTGAACTCCAGCCTGGGCAACTGAGTGAGACTCCAACTCAAAAAGAAAAGCAACAACAACAAAAAAAAAACACACATACACAAAGACTAAGATTATTATTTTCCTAGAAGTCAAGTTTTTCCCACACTCCCAATATTCTTAGAGAAGTCTAAGAGTCAATGGAAGAAAAACTTAGTACTCAACAATGAAGTAGAAAGCTTTAAGTAGTAGTTAATATACTAATACTGAGAATAAATTAGAATGTGGTAGCTGATGACTACTTATTCAGCATGATGTAGAGTAGGGGTATCCAAACCTGGGCCACAGACTGGTCTGTGGCCTGTTAGGAACCTGGCCACACAACAGAAGGTGAGTGGTGGGTCAGCAAACAAAGCTTCATCTATATTACAGTCAATCCCCATCACAGAAATTACCTCATGAGCTCTGTATTATGTCAGAGGAGCGGTGGCATTAGATACTCATAGGAGCCTGAACCCTACTGTGAACTGGGCATGCTAGGTGTCTAGGTTGCATGCTCCTTGTGAAAATCTATGCCTGGTGATCTGAGATGGAGCTGAAGTAGTGATGCTATGTATTTCATTATATATTAAAATGTAATAATAATAGAAATAAAGTGTACAATAAATGTAATGCATCTGAATCATCCTGAAACCATCCCTACCCTCCACCACACCTCTGCCATCTGTGGAATAATGGTCTTCCATGAAACCAGCCCCTGAGGGCAAAAAGGTTGGGGACTGCTGGTTTAGAGTGCCTACTATATCAGCAAGAGTATAAAACTGCATGTGTTCTAATGGTCCCTTTTAGCTCTAAGACTATATAATTATGAACTTTTAGTCCTGGCACAACTTCAAATATTCATACTACACAAATATATAGGTATAAATATAGTCAGAGAATCATTTATGACTTTCTTCCCCTAATCCACAGTAAACTTTGCTATTTCCTTTAATATCTTTTTTCTTTGCTAAAGAAATTTTTATAAAGCTGAAATAAGAAAGTCCTCAAATTATAGACTTGGTTTTATGAATCATGAGTAATTTCATGGGATCAAAGAATTGTCTGGGATTAGTAAATATGCAAAGCCCGTTTTTTTATATACTTTAACAAAATGAAACAAACCCCTGGACGAGGAAGCAAGTCACATTCTTCTCATTTATTTCTGTGTTTGACTTTTTTTTAAAAAACAGTCTAAACTGACAGTAGAAACAGAAATGTTTGACTTTAAGAAGTATCCACTAGTTCTCTAGAATATATGATATACAACGTACCGGAAAGGGATATATTTTACTACAATTTCATTGAGGAAATTTCCATCTGCACTGAGGTAAGAATCTAGTTTAGTATATTCCCATATGCCATGTCTCCTAACAGCACAAAAATAGAAGTTCTTAGATTCCTCCTTCTTGGGATCCCTGGACTAGAGAAGAATCACATCTGGATATCCATTCCTTTCTCATCTGTGTACCTTCTTTCTATCCTGGGTAATTTTACCATTCTCTTCTTTATCAAGACAGAGCAAAGCCTCCATGAACCCATGTACTATTTCCTTTCCATGCTCTCCATCTCTGACTTAGGACTGTCCCTCTCTTCCTTACCCACCACTTTGGGACTACTCCTGTTTGGTGTCCATGAAATTCATGCAACTGCGTGCTTCGCCCAGGAGTTTTTCATTCATCTGTTCACAGTTACTGAAGCCTCTGTGCTGTCAGTGATGGCATTTGACAGATATGTGGCAATCCATAACCCTTTGAGATACAGCGCAATCTTAACCAGCTCTAGAGTCATCAAAACAGGGATCTTTCTGACTTCCAAGAATGTTCTTTTGATCTTTCCACTGCCCTTTCTCCTGCAACGGCTGAGATATTGTCATCAAAACCTGCTCTCCCACTCCTATTGTCTCCATCAGGACGTCATGAAACTGGCATGTTCTGACAACAGAGTCAACGTTGTCTACGGACTCTGTGCTGCACTTTCCACTATGCTGGATTTGGTCTTTATTGCTTTCTCCTACATCATGATTTTAAAGACTATACTAGGAATTGCCACCCCAAGAGAACAGTTCAAGGCCCTCAACACCTGCATTTCTCACATCTGTGCTGTGCTTGTCTTCTATGCGCCCATGCTGAGTGCCGCGATGCTCCACCGTTTTGCCAAGGATGTGTCTCCTATGATCCATGTCCTCATGGCTGATGTTTTCCTTCTGGTACCACCTCTGATAAATCCCATCGTGTACTGTGTGAAGACCCGTCAAATTCGAGAAAAGGTTGTGGGGAAATTTTGTCCAAAAAGAAGTTGATCAAGGGAATGAGAAATGGAATAAATATATATGTGGTAAGTAAATAAATTTTGAATGTCTAGCTGAGAGAAAGAAAGATAAAGTAAAATGAAGTTTGGGGGGTTTATTGTCAAATAGAGTTGATAGAATTAATGCCTTTGATACTCAGTATCCTAAGTATCCTTACTCCTCCTATGATCTTGAGACAATTGCCTTAGCTCTTTGGTTCTTGGAGTGTATATCCACAAATCTGAGCCTTAAAGGAAGACTGGATGCTTCTGCTTTTTACTTCCTAGAAGATATGCCAGTAAAATAATATGAGAAAAGTACCTACATCAATGTCTGTCAAAAGAAAAAAGTGTTCTCCTACTTTTCTTCACTTTCCTACTAAGTAAAAACCTATTAAGAGAGGGGCTAAATTGTTTCTTCAGTTCTTCTTAAGATTCATGATGATTAAATGACTGGTTTTTCTAATTTCAGAACATTCTGCACAGACTCAAAAATGTTAAAATATGTATATCAACTGAATATTTGTAAATAGATTCAAACTATAAATGCTATTATTCTGGAGTTATATGAGTCAAGTACATTATTACCAAGGGCATTTTTTAAAAGAACACCAATGACCAATTCACTGTTTATTTTAGCAGATTTTGAAAAAAAAAATTTATTTTGAACCTGTGTACATTCTAAGCTCTGGCTATTGATTTTTAAACCTTTCCCCCACATATGTTTTACCTCAGTTTTTAGAATCATCTAATCATAATCATGTCTTTAAAAAGATTCTTTTTATAATTAAAAGAAAATTAGTGAAAATCATACAATTTTCCACAATCTTTTATCCATGTAAGATCACATTTTCACTGTGCTTTCCTGACAATCTCCAGCCTAAATACATATTTTAACTCCTCCCAAACAACAATCTGTCTTTATTCATCATATTTTTGTTTGTTTTTGAGTTAGAGTCTCACTCTGTTGTCCAGGCTTGAGTTCAGTGGAACTCCCAAAGCCACCACAGCCTAGACCTGCTGGGCCCAGGTGAACCTTCCACCTCAGTTTTCCAAATAGCTGGAACCACAGGCATGCAGTACCACACACAGCTATTTTTTAAATTTTATTTATTGTAGAGATAAGGTTGCACCAAGTTGCCCAGGCAGGTCTCAAACTCTTGGGTTCAAACAATCCTCTACCTCCACCTCCCAAAGTGCTGGGATTACTGGCATGAGCTACCACGCTCGGCCTTATTCATCATATTTTAACATTATTATATTGCTTTATAATCCTAGAGGCCTAGGTATCATTTATGTGTACATAACTTATTTTCTACAGTACCTTTTACAATTATTTTGTGTTAGAATATGAGTTACGGAAAACGAGTAGTGACTGTCCGTCTTATTCACTATTTCATACCAGTTGCTAGCACAGTGAATGTCTCATGGTATGCATGCAAATAATTATTAAATAAATAAATGAGTGAACACAGAAAATATTATGAAAACATATATAGAGTCACTAAAATCACACACACACACATCATGCTCAATCTTCAACTTATAATACTCTAAATCTTATTAGTTTATTCTCTCAATTATTTTTTATAGTCTCCTTCTCAGATTCATGTATTCCTGTATAGCATTTTCAGCTTTCTGTATCACTTTTAGAAAACCATATATACAAGTTAACATCATAGAAAAATAGTTTTGTGATTCATTTATGTCTTTATTTTTTCCTTTATGTCCAACACATATTTCAATAACAATATGTTTGTCTTAGACTGCAAACAAAGCAATGTACCTTCACTTTTATGATTCTATGAATAAATATACTTAATAAAGATCTTGAGATGATGAAGAGATAGTGAAAATGATGCTTATTTTGACAAAAGAGAGTAGTGAGTAAAGTTAAGAGCTCAGAGAATTTCAGAAAGTGACTTTGGGGACTTGTTCAGACTGAGAATAAATCAGTTGCAAGGAAAGTGAATTTTCTTGGCAAGAAACAATGTCCCTGGGATTGTTGTATTACAAACCACTCCAAAACCTAGTAATTTAAACAACAATTATTTATTTCCTCATAGTTTTGTCATATGTGCAGAGTTCCACAGGGTCACCATGTCTATGCTTCATATGGCACCAACTGGGCATTCTCCCTAGTGTAGCGGGAAGACAGAGATCGTGACACCGAGACTATTATAGGAAGTGGCATTTTATTACGCCGAGCACTGGCTTGGTGGGCTCGATGGGGCTAACGCTTCCAGGTTGAGCCCTGTAGAATGGGAGAAGCGGGGTCTTATACCTTCATTTAGGTAAGGGAGGGAGTCGTGTTGAGTGATTACACTTCTTTTTTTTGGAATTTACAAGGTAGTGTTCAGAAAAATCAGGCCTTTCAAAGAACAAATGGTTTCTCAGGAAATGCAGGGCAGTGATCAGGGGCTCTAACTGATAAGGAGAGCAGTTGTGAATTAGGTACTCTTTCTTTTGCATTTCCAGGAGTCTTCATTCTCGGCCATTTGGTCTTTTTCAAACAAAACCGGCCTGGAGGGTCTTTAGAGTTTGCTGCTTGACTTTTAAAAGGAAATACCTTTAACTGCTACCAACCCCCCTTTCTGCCACAGGGTTAGTGGGAGACAATCTGTCATCCCAGGTGATTGCCATGGGGCCAACTGCTGACCCCAAAGCAGCTACTCATGTATTTCTGAGTTCATTCACTCAATCATACAAGAAATATATATTTGAGCTTTTGCCACATTTGCCCCTTCAATGCTTGATCTTTTATGGATCTAAAACATCATCATTCTTAATCTGGTGCATTAACATTATATGGGCTACAGTTTTTCGTTCAGCAACTGTTTTCACAAACTTAGAAATGGCATTCATAATTATTGGGGCTATGCAAGGGAGGATAAGGCAGGATCCCACCAATAGGACTACAGATCCAATAATATACTTAAGTCCTCCCAGACCCAAGAACATGTTTTCAAATTAATTACCGATTTTTATGCCTTGCCATTTTTGCACCAGGACATGGGCAAGTCTTCTAACATTGGTGGCTATATCAGTTTTAACTTTACCATTACTATTTATTTGCAAACAACAGTCAGATCTATTAAATTTACTACATACTTCGTCTTTTTCCACTAACAGGTAGTTCAAAGCTAAGCGGTTTTGATAAATAACTGCATGCATTTGGGCTTATTCCTGAGCAACAAGCTCAAAAGCCATGGTTGTTTGATTAGTTATAATTTCTAAGACAGCTTGTAACCTAATAATGCGATTTAGCATATATATATAGGTGTGCAGTATTTCCGACTCCCATTTTGTGCCCATGTGGCTGGGCCATAAGTATTTATAAATCTCTGGGGTGGCCATTTGTTATTTTTTCAAACCTGGTCCCTCCTATAATAGGAACTTGGTGGAGGGATCGAGCTTCTCGTGTTTTGAGGCTTTTATAAAGGGGGATGCCTAGTTCATTCCCCCTTGAGTTAGACAGAAGGAAAAATCCTGGCTGGATTATTCCTATGGTGCATGTACCTTTCCATAACGCTGAGAGCTGAGCATATGCAACCTTTCGACATGTCCAAAATAGCCCTTTAGTACATTGAGAAGATTTAGTTGCATAAGCAGATGCCCAATACCAAATAAGCCTTGTTGGCCACCAGAACAAACTCCTGGCTGGGATGAACAATGATGGAAAACTCTTACATCTGGCCAGATAGTTTCTATACGTGTACATGCTGGGTGTGTGAGGGAAATAATAAACACCCAATTTAGGCAGAAATACATAAAAACATAAGAACACTTCCTATTATAAGAAAGAATGGAAATGTTAGTGAAACATTTTCTAACATGCTCAATGGGGACAACTCTGTCAATTTTACAGCAAATAAAGTTAGTTCTACAGCAATTAAAATGACAAACAGTTTAGTGAATATAAAGGTTGAGAAAGCAAAACAATGGCTTATCAGTAATGTCCACTGAGTTCTTAAGCTGAATCCTCAATTTTCTGCTGTGCGTCAATCAGTCAGCCTCCGGTGTGTGACTGAAGCAGGGCTTGATGTTTTCTCAGGCTTCTAGAGCAGGGCTTGAGAAATTTTGACTTTCTGAAGGGTCAGCTTAAGGGGTGTTGCTGAATCTGCAGTGCACTCCCAGTCCTGGAAGGTCAGCTCAATTCTGCTATTTAAAAGGTAAATGCCCCCCTCCAGAGGGACTTTAGAGGTTATATATTCCATTTTTTTACCCATACCATAGCACCTGGCTTAAAAGAATGGGCATCAGTAGTTAAACTAATTGGCAATCATTCTCTGACTTGACAATGGATGGCATTTAGGACTAAACCTGAGGCTTGCATTTGTTGTTTTAGGGTAAGACTTCCTAACTCCTTTAAGTCTTCCTGTATGCCCTTAACGAGAGGGGATGGCTGCCCATAAAGCATCTCAAAAGGTGAGAAGCCTGTTTAATTCATTCAAAGGCCTGTTTCTGGGTCTTTTCCAATAGCAGGGGCTCCTGTTCACCCCCCTTTGAGGCTTCATAGAGGAGTTTCATCATGATAGAGAAGTTAGGTTTTTAAATTCTATAGACTAGTAGAGGAACAGGACCACCCTTAGGGTCCTTTTTTTTCTTACAGTTGTTGGTTGGGTCCTTCCGTTCTTCAATTTTTAGCAGCACTTACTTCCCTGGGACGTTTGAGTTTTTTATAGTCCAGGAAGTGTCTAGGGAAATAAGCTTATAAACTGTGATTAAAATTTGTCCCAAATGGACAACACATTTTCTTATGAGCATTTATGTTTGTGGCCCTCTTTCCTTCAGAGGTGTAGGAGAAAGGCCTACCATTAAACAATTTCAAAGGTTTAACAAATTCCATTTCAGGGACTTGGATGCTGAGCAATGCAATACTGAATACCTATGTTTAGTTTACTTGTGTCTCCAAAGGATTTCTTGTGATTATTATGCTAAAGTGCAAATTGAAAAACTGTACTGTCCTAGTTCTACATCTGATGGAGTTTTCCCTGGATTTGCCAAGGGGTG